AATAATAATGTTGTTACTGTTGTTGTTATTATTATTATTATTATTATTATTATTATTATTATTATTACTATTACTATTACTATTATTATCACTATTATTATCACTATTATTATTATTATCATTATTGTTGTTATTATTATTATTATTATTATTGTTATTGTTATTGTTATTGTTGTTATTTTTGTTATTACTATGATTATTACTTTTATTATCATTATTATTGACATGATTGTCATTAAAATACTAATAGAAATAAAAAATAAAAAAGAATCATTTCAAAAATCAAGGAAAAGAGAAAACATGCAAAAGAGTTACAACTAGTACTTGACTCCTTGCTTCCACCATCTATGTGCAAACTTGATGAATAAACTAAAATCACAGTCAACATAGCATGTCCTTCCCAGCAGCAGTGGGTTAATATGATGTTAGGATTTGTTAAGATATCATAGGTAAGCCTCTACATTTTTCCCATGGATGCTCTAATTGTATATTAGAATTAACATTTTGACTGTAGCGGATACGGCAGAATGATGGAACTGAAATACGAATTTCAAATTAAAGTCATTCTGACAGAAAAAAGACTTCCTACCTTGAGAAGAGATATTAAGAAGCAAGTATAATTAGTCCCTTAACCCATTCGCCACACGTGGCAAGAATAGATGCCATGCCCACTTTGATATACGTTCATTTTTTGTATTTACACATAGATGGCTCCACAAGTTCTTAATTATCAAACAGCCAGTTATCAAGAACTACCTATTTCCCCTGTTTACCCGTTTCCTTCACTTTAGGAAAAGGTTTTCTGTATCATTTCAATGTCTAAAATATTCTAATGACAATTTAATAATCATAACATCAATAACAATAATAACAGTGTCGATAGCAATGGTATTAATTTTCCCATCAATTCAATGAATGGAAAAATCAGGGTCAGTAACTAGGGCTTACTGATAGACTCCTTGCTGGCAAAGCCATCTGTATGTAACAAAATTCACCAAAAATTACAGGGGACAGAACATAAATCTGGGACGAATGGATTAAAGACATAACCAGCAATTCTTGAAATTTCACAGGATAGAAGTCGGCACTAAATTGCAATTAATGAATGTTAGACTTTTATATTCTTATGTAGCTGATTTTAATTTACTTTTGCTTTTTTATATTTCATTTTATTTACTACTATTCTGTATGCAACTAATGTAATGTTCAGTTTTAATTTTGAAATCAAGGAGGTAGACAAAAAGGAAGAACAACCTAGTAGATGAGTTTCGAAGGTCTTTAATGAACTGTTATACCCTTATTTTATCTTGTCTTACAGAGCCAACTTTAAGGAGACTCAATGGAAATGAAATTACTTTCAAAGAAAAGTTAGGAACATTCCTCCAGAAGTTTAAAACAGGTAGGGAAGGGAGTAATATGGATTTCTTTATTTAGTTAAGTTTAAATATGTTTATTACAAGAAAAAAGTTTCCCTCATTATTACATTGCTATAGACTCTATAAAGATAATATTTAGAATTAGTTTATTGAGTACCAAAAGGTATGCCTTGTTTACTTATTTTGAGTAGCTATTTACCAAGCCTTTACATGTATCACTTACAGTATCATCTTATGATCCTATCTATGAGAGTTCAAGTAAAGACAGTAACTAGAATCACTTAGGGTTTATTATCTTTCACAATGTCTCATAGGTTATGTGGTGAATATGTAACTGTTTGTCTCTCTCCAGATTTTTCCTCATTAAATATAAAAGCACAAAGTTCCCAGAGAGTTGATCCAGAAAGAAGCCAGTCTACCAGCAGCTGCAGTAGCCCCCCACACTGTTCATTGCTGAACAAGAGGAAAAAGGCAGTAAAGACAAAATCTACATGTAGTACATCAGGCTTGAAGACCCCTGTACGGAAGTACATGCCAAATCCCTTAAGCAGAAGCTTGGATCGTACAAGGTTGGAAGAACTATGTGGGAGTAGCAGGAGCTTGCCAACCAGGCCTAGTGGGTGTGGGGGTGAAGAACCTTTGTCAACACCTAATTACCTGTGGAAAAACAGAGGTCCCAGTGGGGGGTCTTTGCCACAAAGGGAAAAATACACGAATAACAATTACTTGCAGGAGAACTGTTCAAATCCAAGTGAAAAGGAAAAAATTAGTGCTATGACTTCCCAGCAGAAATTCAAGTCACCCAATCAAAAACTAACATGTATCTCCAGTAAGGTAAATAATAAAGGTGTAGTCGCCATGCAGTCTATGTCAGATGCTCTGGGACTGATAGTGGCCACAGGTATATATACAGGAGTCAAAAACTTGTATGAAAAGATCTGGTATCAAGAAGAAGCTGGTATTTATGGATTACAAAATTACATTGTTGAAGATATTATGCAGTTAGGTGAGGCTGGTGAACATGCCACACGTTTTCTTCTGGCTGAGATGTCATCCCAGCATTTAAAACGCCTTGTTCATGGTGCGGTGCTCATAATTTGTGATAATTTGCAAGATGTGCATTGAATTGTTTAGATATGAAGGTTGGTTTATTTTCTCTTTTCTAGTGTGATGCATTCATGAATTATGTATCGCCATTGTGTAAGTACTTGCAGTTTGCAAATCTGAGCAAACAGCCTCAAATACAAACAGATTTTGGCTCTGTACATAGAGTGACGATGAAAGAGTTTTTTTTTTACGAGAGATTCCTTTTAATTATGTCCTTCATGTTCCTGTTTTATGTAAATGGTTAAGAGAATCATTCATAGACTACCCCTGATCACTTATTGCTTGTTTAAAGGGTAGACAGTGTAGGGGTTATCTTTTAGTGCACACAGTACTTTTTATTGTGATAATTTGACTGTATTAAAATTCAGTCATTGTCATTGGATTTAATTGCTATTACTTTTTGTTGATATAATATTGCCTTGATCTCTATATGTATTGAATTGAAGGAAGGTTTGAATAAAAAAGATAATAAAAAAAATACTATAAAGTCTTGATACATGAAAGTGTAGTAATATGTTTTTCTTATGCATTTTCGTTGGAAAAGAATTTATTCTAGAGTTCTTCACTATGACCCACCTTGTTATTAGTTTGCTTATTTGCCATGAACACAGATTTGTATTTGCTTCTTATAATTTTTTTTCTAACTTTAATGTCGATACACATTTACTTACTCTATTTTGAGACCTTACTTCATTGTTTCATAAACAAAAGAAACATACAATAATGTGTTAGTATTTTATTTCAGATAAATATCTGAATGTACATTTTCCAGTGATTTTGAAATTCATATAGATACATGAAGAGGGTTAATCTCAAAATTTCACCATCAGAAAGTCGCAATGTGTGTTTGTGATAATTGAACATTGTCATCTGTTTTTCAGCAAGTCCGTCCTTTGAGTTGCTTTATCAGGATTTGAATATATTTATCTTCAGACCTTAAGAAAATAAAAGTTACCATTATTATGTGGTCTTTTGATGTTTAGATTTGGCAGAAGTGTGGTTTATCAGATCCTTCTTCTTTTTTCTTGTTTGTAGCCAAGCAAGTCGTGTCATTTTGATAAAATGGTGGAGGTTTGGAGGCCAGAAAAAGGTCAGTGTTTGAGGAATTGCAGACTCAGCTGCCTTGGTATGGCTGCAGGTAGCAAGTGGGGAACTGTTACTGTATTTTCAAAGAAAGCAAAGGTGATACTCCCTTTGCAGCTTCTTTTTGCAGTTGATGCCACAGATTTTAATAGCTAGTTTTATTTATTTATTTTTATTTATTATTTTTATTTTTTAATTCATTTGATTTATTTTCATTTAATTATTTATTATTTATTTATTTTCATTTAATTATTTATTATTTATTTATTTTCATTTAATTATTTATTATTTATTTATTTTCATTTAATTATTTATTATTTATTTATTTTCATTTAATTATTTATTATTTATTTATTTTCATTTAATTATTTATTATTTATTTATTTTCATTTAATTATTTATTATTTATTTACTTTGATCTATTTATTTAATATATGGTTTCATGACTAGTTTGTGATGTTAATGTGATAATCTAGGATCTAGTTTTATCTTTTTTTTAAGGTAAATATTAAGGGAGAATGATTTAAGACAGGCAGTTTTTCATGTTGATCTATCATTTATTGATGTTTATGATTGCTTGAACACATTTAAGTTTTAATAACAAAAGTTACATAAAACTTATTGAGCTATTCTTTTTAAATGAGGAATAAACTCCATGATGCTCCCAATTGCACCATGGAAGATGCGATAAAATGCTAGCCATGCCTACCTAAGATTTTTTATTTATTTTTATTTTTTTCCATCTTAAACTGAATATCATTGGATGTATTAGGTTGTCAAATGTTGAGAAAATACTTTAAATTATATCTTGGAAAGAAGCAAAATAAAAGTTTAGACATAGAGAATAACGCATCATTTATAAACGAAGTTATGTTATTTATTTCAAAACATAAGTATTGGTTATCAAAAAAGCCTTATACTGGTGACTGTAGTTTTCTTTTAGCAATTATGTTAAAACACAGACGGCTCCACAAGGGCTTAGCTTGTCAGTAGGTTTGTGTGACAAAACCTGGTTTTCTCTTTCCCTCGTAGATTTTTTTTAATGCTGTTAAATATCGGTATTATTATTATTATTATTGTTATTATTGACATTATTATTATTATAATGTTATTAACAATACTAACAGCAATAAAACCTTTTTAAATCTTTAAAAAAATTACGGGACAGGGTAAATGTGATTAGACGCTGATTTAGCCATCAATGTTTAAAGACAATTAATAAAATAGAAAAATCAACAGTGGACATGGCATGTTTTTGAGTTATCATAGATAATGGAAAAGCAGAACTATGTGGACATGTGAATTGAAAGGTAAAAGCTGCAAAACTTCACAATCTGACTTAAGGCAGTGAACAGGACACAATTTCATGTCAGAACATGTTACATCTTTTTCACCATCTCTTGTTTAAACTACAAATGGATATTGATAAAAATATATAAAATCATATTTATTTATTTCTACACTTGTACATTCTCTTACCCTAATATAAACAGCAAATATTAGTGATGAAGAAAAAAAAAAAAATGAAACAATGTTGTTTTTCCTCAGCAGATGTTAACTTAAGCAAAGATACAAGGAAATGTCATGCACAGGAGACCTGAAGACAAAAAGGTAAATATAATTGTGTCTACCTTTCCCATATGCTTGACATTCTGAGGGAAAATAACAAATGAGTTACTTTAAACCTACTTTCACAAAAGTAATAAACATCTTAGACTAATGTGTGTTAAAGGCATCATACATTTGTGAGTGTCAAGACATTGTACAGCTATTGTGAGATGGGTAAGGAAAATAGACATTTCAGTTACCCTAATATCCTATCTCGGTTTATGATTATTGTCACAGGGGGGACTGAAGGATGGGCAGATGTACCTAATGTATTAATATGTATTTATATATATGATATGACATGTGTTGGGGCATCACCTGACATTTTGATTATTGATCGGTAACAAGATGGAACTATGATTGATTTATTTTGTCAGTTATTCTGTTTCAAAGTTTTGGTCACTTCATATGGTGTTCCCGCCCTACTGTTTTTTTTTCTTAACTTTTAAATCTATTTTTCACTTTCAAGAAGGAAGAAGGAAGAAGGAAGATGTGTCTGTATATGTGATGAATGAGTTAGTTGGAAAAAATCCCATAATCCTATGAAAATTTATGAGATCCGCGAGATCTTTACATGAGATGAATATATGGATGACAAAAAAAAAAAAAGTGTGAAAGCTCTCTGGGCTGTATCAATGATAACTAAATACATTCTAGCATAGTATACCTTTATACTAATAAAACAAACCTTGGTTTTTGTTTTGTTTTTTTCTCAATATGTTCACAATAACACTGGTTTTAGTATACTTGATATTTCACATGTTTTAAATTATTAATTATCTTTAATATTTCTAAATAGATTTTTATGTCATATTTGACCAAGTTATAACAGATTCAAAGAATTCATAATCCAGTCTTTACTGGACTTCCATTTTGGCTCGAACTTTGGCGTGGATCTTCTGGAATTCGCAAGATGGCGCCTGCTCATTCTCCACGTTGCCCTTTTCGGCTTTCTCCATCTGCAGTGGAAGGATTTCAGGGCTGAGTCATGGGTATGATTAAGTATTGTAGAATACACTACAAAACAAAAATGAGTAATAAAGAATTGCCTGCTAATATAAAATCCATATGTATATTTCTCAAGAAAAATCAACAGATTTATAATTTGTTAATAACATTCTGTTCTCAAAACTGCAGTACATTTATGCGAGTTTACTTAAAAATATATAATGTGATCATTTATCTTTCCAAGCTTTTTACATGAACAGGAAGAGTGCCTAGATTTAACAAATAAAGGAATGAAAATAAAGGAATAAAAATGTGAAATCGATCCTCCCTCTGACTCAAATCCAGTGCTTACAAAAATAGTTGTCACAAACCTGTTCTATTTTTTGAGCTCTCTCATCTAATGCCTTTTGGAAGGGAGTCATTTCAGCTTGCTTTTTCTCCTGCTGTTCCCTTAACACCTTCTTGTCATTGTGTTTCTCCATGGCCTTCTGCAGCTCTGTTTTCTGGTTTAGCACATTCACACCCCTGCGAGAAGGATTTGGTTCATTAGAGATTTTTTTTCCATCCTGTACATTGTGAGGAAATTATAAAGTTCACATTAAGTCCTACAGATAATAAATTTTACAGATCTTTATGGGTTAAAGTTGTTATTTTATTCCATACTATTTCCAGTCAGCATCCTGTCTGACACTCCAACAAGCCAACTTCAATAAAATACCCAAAGGATAAATTTTTAAAAATCAAATTCATCACAGACGAAGAAAAAATCACTCTCCCTTACATCTTCTGGTTAAATTTGAGTTCTCTGTGGAGATTCATTTTGTCTGACGATTCGAGGCAGGGGTTGACTAGCTTCTTGGGCATGATGAGGCCGCGACCGTCCAGCCGTTCCGAGGCCGGGTGCTGGCCCTTCTCCTGTTCCTTGTTGTTGCTGTTGTTTCTGGAAAGACACTGGCCTTTAGCTTCTTTCCTTCTGCGATCGACTCTCGGAAGGTAAGAGCTTCTTGGAGTCGACTCTCGGAAGGTAAGAGCTTCTTGGAGTCTCAGCATCATTTGATCTCTAAGTTATGTAGTTTCAAACAACTTTAAATATGTGAAGTATGAGTTATTACTCGGGAAGCAAATAATACATGAAGAGCCTTGGTAACTTTAGGAATGTTCTATTTTCTCTGAAGTATAAAATCCAAAAAAAAAATGAAGCAACAATAGGAAAACAAATAATAACAAGAGTAATAACTTACGTGTTCACTTTATTGTTCCTAGCGACCATACTGCTGACGCTGGCCGGCTGGGTCTCCCTCTCGTCGTCGCTGTAGTCTGGTTCGGGGATCATGGCGCCGTACACTACTT